GCATAAATCAGTACTAATATTATGGAAACATTGAAAGGAAATGTATCTACCACATTCATGACAGTGTTTGTCTTTGGGCAGCTGAAATGCTGGGAAACGGGATCATCCAGGGAAAGCAAGAAAACTCAATTTTTACTGGCAACAAACATGAGTTCTGAAGCCAAGTATAATTAGGTATTTCCATGTTTGTACATTTGTATGTTTCTCTAACATTCTTTTGCTCAATGTCTTCATAGTGGGTATATATAGAAACAGGTAAATAGCTCAGACACCAGTAAGGAAAGAGTTCTAAGAAGAGTTTACAATTGAGAAATGTTGCTGAAGGTAGTGGATGTATGCTGGGCAAGTGCGAATTGCTTGGATCAAAATAGGCGCATTTAGCTGGGTGTCTCTGCACTTGTTTTGTTTATTCAATACTCTCTTCTATTTGAGAAGTGTCCCACCTGCGTGGAACCACAGAATCTAACAGCTGTCTCAGAGTTCCTTCTCCTGGGCCTCTCAGATGATCCAGAACTGGAGCCCATTCTCTTTGGGCTGTTCCTGTCCATGTACTTGGTCACCTTGCTTGGGAACCTGCTCATCATCCTGGCTGTCAGCTCTGACTCCCACCTCCACACGCCCATGTACTTCTTCCTCTCCAACCTGTCCTTGGCTGATATTGGTTTCAGCAGCACGACAATCCCCAAGATGCTGGTGAACATTCAAACACACAGCAAGTCTATCACCTATGCAGGCTGCCTAACTCAGGTGTCCTTTTTTTTCCTGTTTGGATGTTTGGACAGTCTGCTTCTGGCTGTGATGGCCTATGACCGGTTTGTGGCCATTTGTCACCCCCTGAATTATTCAGTCATCATGAACCCATGCCTCTGTGGCTTATTGGTCCTGATGTCATTTTTCGGTAGCGTTTTGGACTCTCAGATTCATTGTTTGTTGGTGTCCCAACTCACCTTCTGCACAAATGTGGAAATTCATCATTTCTTATGTGATGCACCTCAACTCTTCTACCTTGCCTGCTCTGATACCTCCATCCACACCATACTAATGTATTTTCTTGGTGCCATCTTTGGTGGTGTTCCCCTCTCAGGGATCCTTTGTTCTTATACACGAATTGTTTCCTCCATTCTGAGAGTCCCATCCACAGGTGGGAAGTACAAAGCCTTTTCTACCTGTAGCTCCCACCTGTTGGTTGTTTGCTTGTTTTATGGAACAGCCATTGGAGTGTACCTCAGTTCATCCATCTCCTCCTCCCTCAGGAAGGGTGCAGTGACCTCGGTGATGTACACTGTGGTCACTCCTATGCTGAACCCCTTCATCTACACCCTGAGGAACAAGGACATCAAGAGGGCACTGTGGGGGACAATCAGCAGAACAGTCTAATATCAGCATTTGTGTTAATCTTTCTGGGTTCATAGAACTGGAACATGCACGGAATCAACAACATCAAGAAATTCTGAATCTGCAGCCACATGGTATATATACCCATATGGATCTCTGCTTTTTGCTTATACAACTATTCCTGTTAGCATAGCTCTAATGGAAATGGGGGATTATTTTGGACTCTCCACTTAAATCATAGTTGCTGCAGGATTATGTGTATGTATGTACTCCTCTCACTTTTTTTATGCATTGCCCAGGACTCTTGGTCATGAGCAGTCTTCTTTCTATCATTGCAAAATAATCATAACTCTCCCTCTCTTGTTTTTTTCCTTTTTAAAAAGATATTTTACCTATTCATTTGAGAGAAACAGCCCAAGCAGGGGGAGAGGCAGAGAGAGATGCAGGCTCCCTGTTGAGGTGGGAGCCCATCATGGGGCTTGATCGTGACCTGAGCCAAAGGCAGAGTAAATATCTGAGACACCCAGGTGCCCCATCTTGTTATTTTCCTATGATTCTGCCCCACCCTCATTTGTTAGGAGGATCTAATTCTACCTTAAGGTTCAAAACATCTAATACATTTCTGTGCCTTAATGATCTTGATCAGATTTTTTTTAAAGTAGGCTTCACACCCAGCATGGAGTCCAACATGGGGCTTGAACTACGACCCTGAGATCAAGACCCAAGCTGAGATAAAGAATCAGATGCTCGGGGCGCCTGGGAGGCTCAGTGGGTTAAAGCCTCTGCCTTCGGCTCAGGTCATGATCCCAGAGTCCTGGGATCGAGCCCCGCATTGGGCTTTCTGCTCGGCGGGGAGCCTGCTTCCTCCTCTCTCTCTGCCTGCCTCTCTGTCTGCTTGTGATCTCTATCTGTCAAATAAATGAATAAAAAAAATTAAAAAAAAAAGAATCAGATGCTCAACTGACTAGGCCTCCCAGAGTCCCATCTTTATCATATTTCTGAGTGAATAGGATAACCACTGAATTTCCTTCTGAAGCTGAAATGAGACACTATTAATATTGAGTTTGAATAAAGAGTTATCAAGTTTCCTGGAACTTCCCTAGGAAAACTGGGGTGTACAATTCCCAAGGAATAGATGGGAGAGAAACTACCAGAACAGAGGTGATCCTAATTTTCCTGATGATTGTCCTTCCTATTCCATCTAATTTCTCCCCAGTTACATTATATAACTAGACACAAAGGGATAAATACTGTATACTTCCACTTATATAAGAGGAGTATAGTAGTCAAATTCACAGAGACAGAGAGTAGAATGGTGGGAGCCAGGAGCTGGGGTAGGGAAAAGGGGCATTAGTGTTTAATGGGACAGTTTCATTTTGGGATGGTAGAAAAGTTCTAGATATGGATGGTAGTGATGGTTGTGAATGTCCTTACTACTACTGATCTATACACTTAAAAGTGGTTAAGGTGGTAAATTTTATGTTATTTTTTCCACAATTAAAAACAACAACAGGGGCACCTAGGTGGCTCATGGGTTAAAGCATCTGCCTTTGGCTGGGGTCGTGATCCCAGGGTACTGGGATCCAGCCCCACATTGGGCTCTCTGCTCAGATGGGAGTTTGCTTCACTTCTTCTCTCTGCCTGCCTCTCTGTCTGCTTGTAATCTCTGTCTGTCAAATAAATAAATAAAATCTTAAAAACAACAACCACAATGACAACAAAGATCTCCTGTCAGAAATAAGAGACATGTTGCTTCAAATGTTGGGCGTTCCTCAACCCTCGGAATTCAACCCCTATAGGGATCTGCCTCAGCAAGGTCATGCCTCCTTCTTGAGGCAACCCACATCTGATAACTGTTTGATGTGGGGGTGTAAACATTTGTACCCTTTGCCCTAATTCCAGCCAACTTTAAGACATCCTCTTACCTCCAGAGCTCCCTGCTCGTTTTCAGAGGTCTTTGATGGACGTCAGTTTGGCTTGACTTTTTCCAATGTAATTCCTTGTTGCAAAAAATTTGCCGACCACAAGATTGCCCTCCCCTCTCACACCAGCCACAAGTTCAGGGATCTCAAGGTCCACTCTCACATCAGACCAGTTGAATACAAATTTGGGAACTTTTTCACATTCGATAATTTGCTAGAATGATTCAAACTGAGAGGACTACCTCAGATTTGATGATGAACTAGAATAACTCATAGAACTCAAGAAGCAGTATACTATGATTGCAGTTTTATTACAGCAAAAAGATACAAATTAGATTCAGCCAAAGGAAGATACACATAATACAAGGTCTAGAACATCCCATATGTGAAGCCTTTTGTTATCTTCTTTCCTTGGAGTTCAGATCCGTTACCTTTTCCTGGGACGATATCTGTGACAATACTCAAAGACTGTTACCAACCAGGTAGTTCATCTGAGTTCCAGTGTCTAAAATTTTTATTGAGGCTTTGCTACATAGATATGATTAGTTGAAATATGGCCTATATGGCTGAGCTCAATTTCCAGCCTCCCTCCTAAGGCTGGGCTGATATCTCTTTCCCCAAAACTCCAGCCTTTTCATCACATGGCTGGTCTCTTTGGCATGGACAACCTCCATCCTGAGCCATTTCATTAGCATAAACTATGAGTTGTGGTCTATGAGGCCCTCCATGAATAGTCAATCACTCCAGATCACTAGGAAATTTCAAGTGTTTAAAAGTTACCCCTGGGAGCTGGGACAAAGCCTTATCTCTCTTTAGATGAGGCCAAATTCCTTACTACACATTTGCCCTTGCCCAGTTGTTGATTCCAGGAGCACTGCCTGGTAAACATCCTGTGTGCTAATCATTGTCTAATTGTCTGCTTCACAAGGAACTCTGTGTGGGACACCTTGTTACTAATAACATTTATTTGAGAAAATTTAAAAACAGTTCCAAGGTAGTTGAAATGGCCCATAATATTCTTTGAATTACAAACCCAACACTTAGTTCAGGAAAGGGAAATTTCAAGGCAAGGAGAAGAGCAATGGGAGCATTCATTCATTCAGTGTCTCCCTGGGGCAGCAGGGAGGCACCCACTGAAAAGCTGAAGGACTCTGGAAACCCAAACTCAGAGTTGTTTAGAAATGCACTCAATAAGCATATGGAGAAAAGTTCAAACTTACTAATAACAAAATAAATAATTTACCCATCAGTGTATATAGTCTCTTTGGACTTATAATGTAATCAGAGAAACTGAGATCCTGGATTTATGCTTTATGAGGGCAAAGATTTTTGTCTTCTTTTTTTCCACTTCACTCCTGTGTTCCAGACACCTACTGCAGCCTGGCACACCAAAGGTGCTTAGTAAAGGAACTAGCAATAGTTACTGATAAAATGCACTACTTCTTAATTCTTATGCAACTATTCTGATTTGGTACTTAAAGTGGCTGCTAGATTGGAAATCCAAGCTGAGGTGTAGTAATAGGAATGTAAAAGGAGGGGATGTGGAGAGTTGGAGTGAGGAAAACAGAGCAGTCAACATAAGAGGTTAAGGTACATCAGAAAAAGTACTCACTAAGCAATTCTGAGCAAAGTCACTTATGAAGGATGGGTGAGAAGTAAAACTCAATGTCACCAAGAGGCAGGATTTCATTAGCCAAGGGCTGCTGTTCCTGTCAGTTCAAAAACCCAGCACGAGCATTCACATCACTGAATGTAGATTGTTCTCCCCAAAACTTTTTGTAGAGCCCCTTTGAGGTCCCTGTTCCGTAGGCTGTAGACGAAGGGGTTCAGCATTGGGGTGACCACAGTGTACATCACCGAGGCAATCATGCCCCTCCAGGAAGATGCATCAGAACTGAGATACACACCAAGGCCTGTCCCATAGAATAAAGAAACCACAGACAGGTGAGATGCACAGGTAGAAAATGCCTTGTACTTCCCATTAGTTGATGGGATTCTCAGGATTGAGGAGGTGATACGGGTATAGGAGAAAAGGATCCCAGAGAAGGGAATGATGCCAAGAAGGCTAGTTATGATATATAGCAGGATACGATTGACCAATGTGTCTGAGCAGGCAAGCGTGAGGGCCTTAGCAAGTTCACAGTAAAAGTGTGGAATTACCCGGTTGGTGCAGAAGGAAAGCTGAAGTATCAACAGACTCTGGGTCAGGGGGTATGACAAGCTGATGAACCAGGACATGAGAACCAGGAGGCCACAGAGCTGTGGGTTCATGATGACTGGGTAGTGCAAGGGGTGGCAGATGGCCACAAACCGGTCATAGGCCATCACAGTGAGGAGAAACGTGTCCATACCTCCAAAAACCATAAAAAAATACATCTGGGTGATGCAGCCTGCATAGGTGATGGATTTGCTCCGTGTTTGGATGTTCATCAGCATCTTAGGGACCGTGGTGGAGATGAAACTTATGTCAGCAAGGACAAGTTGGAGAGGAAGAAGTACATGGGGGTGTGGAGGTGGGAGTCACAGCTGATGGCCAGGATGATGAGCAGGTTCCCAAGCACGGTGACCAGGTACATGGACAAGAACAGACCACAGAGAAGGGGTTGAGGCACTGAGTCTTGGGAAAATCCCAGGAGTAAAAATTCTGATGCACTTGTTTGATTTCTTGCTTCCATGTTGCCAACTCATCAGCTAGATGAAAGAAGCAGGGAATGACCAAGAAATAGGCACTAGATAGACTACAGAATCTCTCTACTATTTTTATTTCTTGAAGGGAAGTATGGTGCATAATAGCCTTAACATTACAAAGTTTAGGAATCCTACATTCTGTTATTCATTACATGCAACAGTTAATAATGTTGATCAACCCCTGTCCATTGGCCTCTGGGACACTCATTTATCCTATATATCTAGAACCATCAAATCTAAAAAGTTAAGAACCATGTTAGACCTTAGCGATAAAATGGTCCAAACTCTCTCTAAAACAAATGTGGAACATGAGGCCCGGTGAACCTCAGTAACTTAATCTGGATTATCCAACTTGTCTGGAACCCAAAAAAGGATCAGATACATATGTCTCAGAGGTGAGAATATTTGAGAGTCTCTCAAATATCTGGATAGACTATTTCAGGATGAGTAGAATGTAGGTTTACTCTTCAATAATAAAGAAAGGAAGAAAAAGAGAATGTTTTTACCAAATGATAAACCACATGAACAAATTCTTAACGCTTAGTGTACCAGGAGCCATCAACATCCTGCAGGGAGGGACAGAGCCAGATGCTTCCTGGACATTATTATTGCTTGACAAAATATCTTTCATCTGTGAACTTAAATATTGGTGAAAATGTCTAATGAAAACATAGGTATCAAGGTTTCAACCATTTCAGTACTGTAAGATAAAATAATACTAAGGTCACAAACAGAATTTTGAGTCATATCCTCAGTGGTGTTCATCACTCAGTGGGTGGCTCCATCAGTGAAGCGTCTGCCTTTGGCTCAGTTCGTGATCCCAGGATCCTGGAATCAAGTCCTGCATCCGGCTCCTTGCTCAGTGGGGAACCTACTTCTCCCTCTCCCTCTGCCTACAATTCCCCCTGCTTGTGCTCTCACTCTTTCTGTCAAATAAAGAAACAAAGTCTTAAAAAAGTTTTCCACAAGGAAATTTTTTTTTGTAACTGTGTAGTGGCAGATGTTAACTGGAATTATTTTGCTAATTCATCAAATATTATATATGCTATATTATATATATATATTTATATAGATTATAATTTTACTTAATTATTTGCCAGAGAGATTGAGAGAGAGAGAGAGAGAGAGAGAGAGAGAGATTGAGCACAGGCAAGGGGAGCGCCAGAGGGAGAGAATGAAGCAGGCTCCCACCAAGCAGGGAGCCTGATGTGGGGCTCAATCCCAGGACCCTTGGGATCATGACCTGAACCGAAGGCAGACTCTTGACCAACGGAGCCGCTGAGGCACCCCTATATGTGCAATATATTGAATCATTATGGTGTACACCTGAAGCTAATATAATGTTACATGCCAATTTTATCTCAAAAAAAGAAAACTCACAAAAACCCCAAAGCAGATAGTGTCTCTGGAATGATAAAAATGATCACATCAGAGGCAAATTGTTTAACTATGAATGAACATCTTTGTTCGGACCCTTGGTGGGGTGAGCAGTTTGCAATCACCTCTGCTGAGCGCTGGTGAGAGGATCATGACTCATCTTTCAAGTATGAGAGCTTGTAAAAGATTCCCTTGACCCCTAGTAAGTGTGGCTTACTTTCTTGCCTTCTAATCTGTTCTGTTGAGCAGTATGTCAGAGAGTGCACAGGAAATGCCCACAATTCTGGTTATTTCCTGGAGTATGTTGTGTGCATTAACATCATCAACTGGATTAGAATCGAGGAAAACAATTTCATTTCCTATAGGGGCTGGACTGTGATTCAAATGAGTGATGGGAATGAGGAATAGCATTCATCTTAAGAAGAGTTTCCCACACATCAGAAACATTTTATCTTAGGGCCAGAGGTTAGAAATTAAAAGTGGAGGATACAACCACTTGTCATTTATACTTTCCCCTTTATGCATGTACCAAATACATGTTTGTTTTCTGTTTCTAGTGTCCAGAGCAAGAAGGGCGTCTTTGGGACAGGCTAAGTGTTAGCTGTTGGGGATAAAACGATTAATGATGTGGTTTTGTCCTGAGGAACCCCACCTCCCAGGGACATTAATGGATGTAGACACCTAACATTGTAATACAGTGAGTTAAATGCTAAGATAAAGGCAGTCTGCAAAGTGAAGTACAGAAAGGAGCCCCAAATTTAGTCTGAAGTGATGGAGTCAGGGGGGCATTCCTGGAGGAAGAGATCCCTGGGCAAGGAGTTGTCTAGGTTGATGATTGAGTCTGGGTTTATCTGGCACAGAAGGCAGCAAGGGAAAATGTCCATACACAAAAAGCAGCATAGGACAAAGTGCTCTCAGCGATGTGCTGAAGAACAAAAGTGGGACATGGGAACAGTGAAGAATGAGGTTGGAGATGAACAGGGACCACATCTCTGGGAACCTTGAAAAAAACAATGGATAAAGGATAGGGGTCATGTAGGGCATGTGACAAAGGAGTAACATGATCTGTATCACAATTTTCCCTGGTGCCTGGAGTTAAAGTTAGATTTAAGGCAGGCAAAAGGAAATAGGGCTGGGAATCATCACATCATTAATGTTGAAGGGACAAACCCACTTGTTTTAGGAAGAGAACAAAGGCCTGAAGAGGTGAATAAATTAGTCCAATGTCTTGTTAATGAGTCCATGTCCCTACTTAAGGATGAGACCTGATACCCAAGTGCAATCACAGGAACTATGAGATAGGGACTTGCAAGTTTCAGTGTCTCCCAGGATGTTCCCAGAGAAAAAGGGTAGAATGTCAAGGGGGGACTGGATGTTGGATCTTCCTGTGTGCTTCTCTTTCCCCCCTTATCCACCCTGCGTCTTCATATACCATAACCTTGGATACCAGGGAACATGGACTCTTCACTCTTGAAAATCTCTATAAGAAACACAGATGAGGGTGAAGAAAGAAGAAGGACAGGTCCTTTTGAAGAAACAGGAGGTGTTCCCCAACAAATGAAGGTGGCAAAGAAGGATTCAGAAAGGATTTGTCTAGGCTGAGTGAAGGTGGAGGCTCTGGAGTTTTGGAACCAGGTAGGAGAAAACAAATCAATACCTCATGGTAAAAGTCTGTTAGTACCTGGAGGCATCCATTGGTACACCTCCAACTGGTAACAGTGTCACTACACAGTGTGGTTCTGGAAAGTCCTATGGTATCCAAGAGTGGGTGATCTGCCTCTTCCTCCTCATCCCTATAATCACCATCAATCACCCATCCAAATAACATGCAACCAAAGTAAAAACTCACTCACAACAGCAACTTTGAACAAGGAGTGTACCCATTCACCCTCCGAAGCAACTGGCCACTAGAGCTCCTGCACAGATATCACATGATGTCCCTGCCATATGCTTAACAGTAGTCAATGCCCTTTATATCCAAACACCTCTTTTCCCTATTTCCCACAACACTTACTAGGCTGTGCATGCTTGGCAAAGTGGGCTCACCACAGGGGCCAACTCTCCTGAATCTTGTTCTCTCATGGAGGGTGGGTAGTGAAGAAAGATTTGTTTCCCAAAAGAGAAGAAATACAGAGCAGGCATGTTATACAGGGCCTGACTGATTTCTCCTAGAGAAGGCTTGTGTGTCTTGAAAGTGCTACATGGGCCTTAGTGACTATAAGTCAGTGTGTTACAGGTTTTGTGGCCCTGGGGACTGAATCCCCTCTGAAACTTGTTAGACAAATTGATCAATAGATTTTCCATTCTCTGATCAGTTTGACTCCTCAAAGGCAGAGACCCCACAGGAGAAAGGGTCTCTCACCTGCCAATTCCTATGCCCTGGGAGAGTAACACTGGGGCCGGCTGTGACTCCTCTCTCCTGGGTCCTTTTTCTCTTGGAAGAATCTCTTCAGTCTTTCTTAGGTCTCCTCTTGGGGACAAATGACTTGTAGTATTCATGTTAAGCAGATGGTTGAGGGGTGAAGGGTCCCAGGAGTCACTAAGTAATGGTTCTCAAACTTTAGCCTGCACCAAGATGAGCTTGAGTACTTGTTTAAAAATATTTCTGGGTTTCATCTCCAAGTTTCTGTCTCCGTAGGTCTGGGTTTGGGTCTGATAATTTGGATTTTTCACAAGTTCTAAATTTGGTGGTCTCTAGGACAATCTTCTGGGAACAGTTCCCTAGAGCAATGTTTCAAAAGGTAAGCTTTATCAAAAGTATCATCTGGATCTAGTGTTAATGTATAGCTTCCCACCTTACTCCAGACTTACCCATTCAGTATCTCCAGGAAAAGAGGCTAAGAATCTACTATGAAAAAAAATTACAACAATTTTACTTTATTTTATTTTTGTTTATATTTTTATTATGGATATATATTATATATCTAATATATATATTATTGTGGATATACATACATGTCCACAATAATATATATGACAAAATTTACCATTTTATGCATTTTTAAATGTACAATTCTGTAGCATTAAGAACATTCACAATATTATACAATCATCACACCACACACCATTCCCAGAACTTTATCATCATCCCAAATAGAAACTCTGTCTCCATTGAACAACAATTCCTCTTCCTCCTCCCCCCACCACCCCAACCCTTGGAAACCTCTGTTCTATTTTCTGTCTCTGTGACTTTGTTTATTCTAGGTACCGCATGAAAGTGGAATCATTCAGCACTTATCTTTTTGTGTCTGGCTTATCTCATTTAGCATAATGTTTTTGAGATTCAACCATGTTGCAACATATATCAGAATTTCAGTCCCTTTAAGGCTGAATAATATTTCATTGTATGTATATATCCCATTCCTTTTATCCATTCATCTGTTTTCATCTTTTAGCTATTGTTCATACCATAATGCTAATGCTGGTAGGAACATTGGCAAGAATCAATTTGAGTTTCTGCCCTCAGTTTTCAAGGGTATATATCTGGACTTGGAACTGATGGATCTTGAGAATCTACGTTTAAAAGCCAAATAATCAGACATTTGAGGAAACACTGTCCCAAGACACTGAACAACAGATCCCGGAAAGTCCCAATGACCTCTGCACTTTG